TGTATAAAAAGAGCCCATCTTTGTACTATCATCAATCTATGTATTTATATTTATGTATTTATTTATATTTATATTTATTTATATTTATATTTATTTATATTTATTTGTATTTATTTATTTATTTATATTTATTTTTTTTATTTTTTTTTTTAGGTATCTCCTGTATACAGCTGCTGGCTGTATAAGAAGAGCCCTTCTATCTATTCCTATCAATCTATTAATTAATTTATTTATATTTATTTATATTTATATTTATTTATTTATTTATTTATTTATTTATTTATTTTTTATTTTTTTTTTTATAGGTATCTCCTGTATACAGCTGCTGGCTGTATAAGAAGAGCCCTTCTTTGGGTCGGTGGCAGCAGCGTTTATTTATAATAAAGGAAAGAAGATTAGAATATTATAATATAAATAAAATAAATAAAATAAATAAAATAAATAAAATAAATAAAATAAATATAGATAGTAGTTGTGGAGATACAAATAAAAATATAAATAAAAATATATTGGGACGCCTCGATTTAGATATAGTTAAAATTAAAATACAGGTATGTCTTCATTTATTTTTTTTTTATTTTTTTTTTATTTTGTTTGTTTGTTTATTTTGTTTGTTTATTTGTTTTTTTTATTTGTTTTTGTTTGTTTGTTTATTTGTTTTTTTATTTTTTTATTTTTTTATTTGTTTACTTTTATTATTTTTTTTTTCTTGTTATTTCTTCTATCCCCTTATTTTCTATTTATTTATTCATTTATTTTTATTTATTTATTTATTTATTTATATATATTTGTATGTATTTAGTTACATATATTTATTTATTTATATTTGTTTAGTTATATATATTTATTTACATTTATTTATTTATTTTTATTTATTTATTTATTTTTATTTATTTTTTCTGTTTTTGTTTGTTGTTTTATTTTCTGCTGCTTCTTTGTACTCCTCGAATTCCTTTTTTTTTTATTTTTTATAAAAACATTTATTTATTTAATTATATTTATTTATATTTATTTATTTATATTTATATTTATTTATTTATATTTATTTATTTATTTATTTTTATTTATTTTTTTTTTTTTT